TACAACTAGATTGAAGACAACAACTTGACTTGGAGCTCAGCTGCGCCCCCTTCCTTCCCCCCACAACTAGATGGAAAACAATGACTTGATTTGGAGCTGATGGGTCCCGGAAAAAACACGGTCCCCCCAAAAAGTTTTAACAAACAAAACAAACAAACAAAAACCATGAGATATAATAAAATGGTTATTTTAAGCCGCTAAGATTTGGAGTAACTTGATACACAGCAATATGCATTATCTCATTCAATCCATTCATTATACCTATTTTACAGAGTAGGAAATTTAAGCTTAGAGGGATTAAATAACTTGCCCTGGGTCTTTCAGGAAGCAGGAGGCCTAGCTAGCATTTAAACTTTAAACTTGAACTTGGGAAGTCTGACTCCATAGTCCCTCGAACCCAAGCCCTTGTTATACAGCTTCTTAGTGGGTCCTGGCAGGGGGGTTGACATCTCAACCAAAAACATTACCTTCAACCAAAGGGTTAAATGAATTTTCAAAGAGTTTCTAGCACAAACACATTTCCCCATCTGAGAGATATTTGAGGAGATTTGGAGTTGGGGCATGGTGGTGGGTGGTGGCCCCTCCCCAAACTTGGGGAGGTGGGGGCTGATTACTTGTCTTTGTGTATCCACGGCTGGCACACAGCTTGTCACGATGGATGATTAATGTTCGTTCAACGAATAAACGAACCCAGAAAGGAGTAAGTGATGGAGTTGTAGAGGAGGGTGAAGTGACTAAGATCTGGAGAGAAGGGTTTTCCTGCCATCTAGTGGCTCTTCGTGGAACAACACTATCTCCTCTGGAAAGAAGGAAATAAACGTTTCCTGGGGGGAGATCAGGCAGCATCGTTCCAGATTGGAGTGTGGTGCAGTGGGTGTGGGGCCTCCCACAGGAGCCAGACTTCTTGCCTCTTCCAACATCAGTGCTCCTTGAGGGCGAGGCAAGAAACACTTCCTCTACTACCAGCTCCTTCCATTCCTCACAGAGCCGAGCATTCGGTAGGTGCTTAATAAATACTTGAGATTGAAATTTGAGAAAATAGGTAATGACAAATTCCCTATTTCATCTTTGCCATCTACTGAAGTTTGCAAAAGGGATAGCTACCTTGAAAAGAGAAGAGGTTCCACTCCCTCAGAACTTAGAACATGGCGTGCTCCCCGTGAACCCTAAAGTCACCTGCTATATCCCACCTCACTCTCAGGCCTTCCCAGCCCCCAGCCCTTCCCTGAGGTGGGCCTCCACACAGCCCGCTCTTGCAGGGCTCATAGGTATGGCTCTTCCTGGCACTAAGGCAGGACAGGAATTTCCCCGGCAAGGGCCTGTACATGGACACCAAAAACTATCTCCCATCAGACGGACCCTCAATTTCCTCACTTGGAAAAGCCTGGACAACAAAGTGCTACTGACCCTTGAACAACTCAGGGATTAGGGGCACCAACACCTGCCCCCAACCCCGCAGTCCAAAATCCATGTATGCTCAGGTCCCTTATATAAAATAGCATAGAACAGTGCCTAAGCCGGCCCTTCCAACCTCAGATAGAAAATGCTGTCTTCAATTCGTGGTTGGTTAAATCCACAGATGCAAAACCCAAGGATATGGAGGGCCGACTGTACATTTATTGGCAAAAATCCACGTATAAGTGGAGCCGCGCAGCTCAAACCCATTGTTCAAGGGTCAAGGGTATCATCCTCAAAGAGCTGTCACAAAGATCACGGGAGATCGGACGTGTGGAGTCCGTGGAACCCAATGAGGCCTGCTACAAGTGTGTGCATTGGAAACACCCAGGACAATTCCTAGGAAAATAAATACATTTTCGTCCTCCCCAAACTCCTCTGCCGGCAGCCCGTCACACCCAAACTCCCACAGCAGTCCTCTCCGACCCCTTCTATCCAAGCTTTTACCCCAACACTTCCCGCATTCCTTCTTCCTGATCCCAGGGCAAGTCAGAAAGGCAAGAGGGGGGTGGTAAGAACAGACACTTTATTGTACACCATGGGGGGAGCAGAGAGGAAGGAAGACTCCAGGGTGACAATGCCTCGTCCCCTCCCCTGGGCTGAGTGGTCTTGACCAGCCCAGGACTCTGGCCAGCCATGGGGCACATGGACTTGAATTGTTCTGAACGTGTGCCAGAACCTAAAGTGATGCTTGCTGTGTGTGCTTGGGTCTGTACAAAGCAGTGCTAGGGATGAGGAGGGACCCTGGGCCCTCCCCCCGCCCCTTGGCCCCAGTGAAGAGGAAATAGGACCCCAGTTTCAGGGCCTAGTAGACACTCAGGGAGTCAGTCAGGTGCATTCCAACCTTTTCAGTCTCTTCTCTTTTCCACCACGAGACACTCTGGGGGGCAGAGGAGGAAGGGTTGCAGCTGTGAGGATGGGTAGAAGGGCAGCCCCTGCCTGTATGTAATACTGCAGGCCTGCTTAGGGCCTATAGCAGGCTGACTCAGGAGGGCTTCTCCTAGCACTAGGAAAGCAACAGTCCCCACAGATTTATTGCTGGAGGGCAAAGCCAGCCTCACTGGCATCAATTTGTGTGCCCCACTTATCCATCCCCTCGGGCTTCATGTTGCCTCAGCGGAGATGGCTCCCTGAGCAAGAAGCTGGTGATTGGGCTGGAAGGCAGGGGCCAGGCGACTCTTTCAGGTATGCCCCTGCCCTGCCCCGGAGTCCTGTGGGCACTGCATGGACAGCACCAAAGCCAGTGGTGGGTGAGGGCCCTGTGCAAGGACATGGGGCTACCTCCTCTTCCTCCAGGATATCAGGGAATCTGTGGCTCAGTCTTACTTGGCAGATGCCCCACTTGCTCTTGACCCCCTGGACTCACCTCACTCCCAGCTACCGAGCTCCCCTGAGGCGTGAGCAGAGGTGTGTGTCAGAGACACATGGGAGGGGCAGCTGTTCCCTTCTGAGCACTGTCAGGGCTGTCTCAAGGACAAACGCAGGAGACAGGTGCTGTGAGGTGCCTTCTTGGGGTCTCACCATCTTAAGAAACCTATACTTTCCTCAGTGTAAAGAAGGTGTGACTCTAGTGGGCACAGCAAGATGTTGACTGGAACATAAATTGGGTTTTTCTTCCTCTCCAAGGCCCCTCCTTCCGTCTCTGGTAAGCCCAGTGATGTGAAGTCCATCAGCCACCAAGAAAAGCGCCCATTGCCCCACAACGGGGGGCTTCCCACAGGACCCTGCCCTGAGGAAGGCCTGACAGAGCTGAGAGGAGGAGGGGGAGACCGATGAGGGCAGGGGGGGCAGCGAGGTGAACGCTGGGAATCACAAATCAGCACCCTACACACTCACAGCCACATATGTGCACACACCACACACATACACGCATTCACACACACGTACACACAAGCTCTGGGCCCTGTGACTAACATAGTAGAGACACAGCCAGGACAGGGCCCGGCCTACAGCAAAAGGCCAGGTATACTCCCCAGCCCACAGGCACCAAGCAGACGGCACAGCTCAGCCCCATCACAGGCTGGTGGGCTGGGGCCTGGCCCAGCCACAAGCTACAAAATTAAAAATATATCAAATATACAATGAAAATAGATCTGTACAGCACTGAGGATGAAAATAGTCCACCCGCCACAGTATAATATTGGGTTTGTCATTTAACAGCATTTACACCCACATGTACAGATTGAATATACAATAGAAATAGAATATCTAGAAGAGTATATATAGCAGAGTGTCTCTCCTGGGGCCTTGCTTTTCCTGTTGCTAAATCAGCTGAGACTAGGCATGGGTCCAAGGTAGGAGGTGCTGTCAGGTGAGGGGGCCTAAGGCGGGATAGTATGCTCAAAAGCTCGTGTCTTTGGGGAGACGTGGGTCTCCCTCTTCCTGACACTCAGGAAGGGCGAGTAGGGCTGAGAGGACTAAAAATGGGAGGTGGGAAGGAGGGGTGAGTCAGGGAGCGGGAGGGGTGGGGGGTAGATCCCCAGGCAAGGAGGTGGGGATGAAGGGACTAAGGGGTGAAGGAGGGAACCCTGGGCTTAGGCTTTCCCTTCCAGTGCTGAGAGCAGTCAGTCACCAGAGCGACTCAGGACCCTCCATGAAGGTGCCCAGGCCGAGCACTGTGGCCTGCTCCCGCCCTGCCAGCCACAGCTCTCAAAGATGGAGGTTTGCGATACCAGCCAGTCTCCCTCCCTCCCTTCCTTCCTTCCTTCCTTCCTTCCCTCCCTCCCTCCCTCCCTCCCTATATACCACCATCCATCCATCCATCCATCCATCCATCCTTCCTTCCTTCCATTGGTACATCCGTTCCTCAGACATTTGTTCTTCAGTCAGATTCTAGTCCTCCCAGCCTGCACTCTGATGGCAGCCTGGCAACCTCCAGTGTCCCCAGTACTGCCGGTGGCCCTCCCTGCCATGGGCCAGGCTGCTTGGGAAAGAATTCCGAGGTGTCCGTACACAACGTGCACACCGGGTAGCTGTGCTTACACAACAGAGGGTGAGTGGCAGCCCAAAGGGGCAGTAAAATGGTATCTTTTCCCAGGTGCAAGGATTCCTGTTTGTGAACCCCTGAGCTCCAGGGACCCCAATTCCAGGGGAGAAGCTGCCGCTAGTGAAAGTTGAGCCCCAGGTGAGAGGAGACAGGGTGTGCTTCACAATTGTGCTCCAAACCATCCGAATTGTGCTGTGGACCATCAAGTGTGCTCTAGAAAACTCTCAAGGAAAAGGCAGATGCCACCACTCTGGGATCCAGGATGGTGGAGGGACAGAGTGACAGCTAAGCCTTGATGGAAGTGGGAAGGGTTTCGGCCCAGTCATCGCCCTCCCTGGCAGAAAGCAGGAGCACATCCCACCCACCCAGGCAGGGCCAAGGACATTGGGGATCCCATCTAGAGGTGGGGGCAGAGGAGCCCTCTCACCCCCCTGCTGCCAGGGCACCATCTGCCTCACACAACAAAACACCCCAAGTCTGAGCCCTGAATCCTGGCACATCTGTCCCATCCAGGCAGCCTCAGGGACACACACCCCCCCAGCTTGGTGCCTCTCACCACCACCACCACCACCTGGCAGCACAGAGGGACGCTGAGACCTAAAGAACTGCAAGTGGCAGGTTACAGGGAGAGAGGGAGGGTGGAGTGACCCCTCAAGTGGCCACTGGGAGTCTCCCCTGTGCTGTGAATCAGGATTTCCAGATTATTCCAGTTATTTGGCTGCAATTTGGTGAGAGAACCTCAGAGGGTAGATAGGTTGGAGGCCTAGACTGGGGGACAGAGATTGTCCCAGCCCCCACTCAGGCGTAGGGAGAAGTTGGCTGGGACTGGAGTGAGGCATGATGCAGGCAGACCCCCTCTTCTTGGACAGAGGGCCCGGCCTGGGAGGAGAGGCCAGGCTGGAACAGGGGAGCTGGCTGGATGTGGCGGGGAGAGGCAGGCAGGCCGGGAGCAGTGGTCACAGCTCCGACTCAGGGGTGCTGGCCAGGAGGTAGCCACTCCCATAGCGTCCATTGGGGTTGCTGCTGGGTTCCAGGGGTGATGTGCTGCCAGGCCCCAAGTAGGAGCGGTGAGTGGGCATGGGGGAGGGTGCCTCGCTGGGCACCTTGCTGAGGATGAAGCGAGTCTCGTCGTTCTCCTCCAGGTTGGAGATGTCCTTCATCATGCGGCCCTTCTTATAGGACACGGAGAGAGTGTTGGAGCCGTCAGAGAGCAGGTGGAAGTGCCGCAGGACGAACACCACTGGGATAGGCAGGGTTGCCACAACGATGAGGGTGATCAGGAGTGCCATGGCCCAGTTAGGGAAATACAGGTAGCGCTCGGCAGCCTGGGGGCAGACAGGGGTGAGGGCTGCTGCCCAGCACTGCCACAGCCTCACCCTCTCAGGACCTCCAGGACCAAAGCTTCCTGCCTCTCCCCACCCCACCCGCTGTCCTGGTACCTGCAAAGATGGGGTCAGCAGGGGTTGCTATTGAGTTAGCTGGTCATCCTGGTTAAGGGCCTGAGCCTCCCAGGGTCTCAGTTTCTCCACTTGTCAAAAGGATGGATGACTCCATCCCACACAGATGGAGAAAAAACCTGGGTTAGGAAGGCTGGACAAGTGCATTAGCCTTTCTGACCCTCAGTTTCCCTACTTGTGCGACAGGGATAATGTCACCTCTCTGGAATGTTGTAAAGGTTACAGATCAGGGGTGCAGTGCCCCTGGCAGGGCCTGGCATATAGTAGTTGCCCTATAAGGGTTTGTATCTATCACCGGTTGCATTACAGGCCTGAGAAGGTCCCCATGTCCCTGGGGTTCTGGGCCCCACCCCTCACCTCCTCTTTGATCCAGGCGCTGTAGCCCGGCGGTGTGACCCCCAGCTGTATGATACTGGCCGTGGTGAGCACAGCCATGCACAGTGGAGAGACGAACTTCCACATGTAGAAGTAGAAGCGGTAGGGTCGAAAGCCCAGCATCTCCGTCAGCTCCTGCATGAACCTGCCAGGCACAGCAGAGGGCCCAGAAGTTGGCACCCTCACTGTGCCTGTGCATTCCCTCACCTCCTCCATGAAGCCTTCATGGACTAGTCCTTCCCTCCCAGCTCTTCCGTTCTTCACACTCAGTGCTCCCAGTGTATTATTCTCTGGCCCAGCTGGTGTCTGGGAAGACTCTGCTGACCTCCTGTAGCCTCCCCTGCCTATGTCACGTCACACACCACCCAGGGATATGATACAGCCCCCAGGACAGGCACCTGAGCTTGCTGAGCACCCAGCCCCACTCACACTGGTCTGGCTGTAGACCCCCCCTGCTGGAAAAGGGGTAGAAGTGCACTTCCCTAGTGTCTCAAGGCAGAGAGCTTCCTTGACTTGGGGTTTCTACCACTAACCCTGTGGGTGGAATTCTGGAAGCGGGGGAGGGGGCTGGCAGGGGGTGCTGAGGCTGGCAGGCTGTTTACATGAATGGCATTTTTTAAAAAAATAATCTTTACCTCAATAACACCTAACTGAAATCTTGCACTTCTTTCTATTATACAGGCAAGCAACCATTAACAGTACTTACACATTAACAGTACTTCTGACTCTGCCAGCAACTCATTAAATCTCACATATTTTCCTATCACATTATAACTGAAAATACCTACAAACATCATTTGTGCTCATCACTACTTTGAAATTACCATTTTTATTAGACCTACAGCTAGATCTTATACCTCAATGCGGTAAAGAGAAAGTACACAGATATTACTAAATCACATATTTTAAACATTATTTTGCTAAGTTTCAATATTATTAGTTGCCTGTATAATCCTATATATTTTATCATATGCATTTAAAAATGCTATTCTGAGAAGGGACACAGCGGTTTTGCCAGCCTGCAGAGAAGGGTCAGCGGGTTCCAACCCGGCTTACAGGGTGGCCCCCTCTTATCAACCCAGCCCTCCTGCACTCTCCCAGGAAGGAGACGGTTGGATCAGGGCCTGTGCAAGAGCCCAATTCTAAGCCCAGGTCCAGGCATCAGGGGAGGGTCAGGCTGAGGAGCTCAGTGGAACCCCAAGTCTTGCTGAGTGAGTAGGGGGGACCTAGTCCTGGGGCTTCCTGGTGACACAGATTGGTCCTCAAATAAGGAATGGGGCCAGGGGCTGACAGTGAGCATAAATTGGCCAGAGGCTCAGGCCCTGAGACCCAATCCTTTCTTATTGCTGAATTCTCTTACCCACTCGTCCCCAAAGTTAGGGCCCAAACCATCCCTCGTCTCACCCCTATGTAGATCACCTTATAGCTAGCTGTCAATCAGGTTGCTAAAGTCTATGAGTGTTTTGAGAGCACTGGCCTCTTCTGCACCCACTGGGTGTTTAACAAGCTTCACTAAATATTGAGGAGTTGGTACCCAGGAAAGGTGCTCTGGTAATTTAGGGCAGTTTAGGATGATGTCAGGACCCAAACCCAGGAGACGTGTGTACTCAGCCTGGCTCTGCGTCTCGCCAGCCAAGTGGTGTTGCACTGTGGTGTTCTCTCTCTTAGTCTCAGTTTCTCTAAATTATCTGCAAAGGCACTTTCAGTTCTGGCATTGACTCTGTGATCTCCTGCCCCACTCGCAAGCAGCCCTTTCTGGGGAGTCAAGATGGGACAGACCCATCCTCCCATCCCCACTTTATCCCCACGGTCCCCTTACTTCTTGGTTCCATAGATCCAGGCCACAGCGATATTCTCAAGGATGACAATGACAGTGAGAGGCAGGGTGGCCGAGTAGTCATCAAACATGGTGACAAAGTAGTTTCCGGAGCGCTGGACGAACAACATCCCCACGAAGAATGCAAAGACACAGCAGCCCACTACAGAGAGCCGGGAGGCCGGTGTGGGGGCAAAGGTGCAGGTGGGTGGGGCCCAGGGGTCTTGGGGGCACCCAGGCCCTTCCCATTCCACCCCTCTCCCCAGCGAGCCTGCAGCCCACCCGCCAGCAGGCCCAGCCCTACACAGGGGAAGGGGTCCGGATTTGGAGACTCTGAGCTCCCATCCTACTAAGCAGGGAGCATCCCAGGGCTGGGAATGACAGGGGCCGAGCAGGACGGAGGGAGGTCAGCCCTGCCCAAGACAGCTCAACAAGCATTCAGGAGAGGGGCAAATGAACACAGAAAGACGCATGTCTCTCAGCTCAGGTTTGGCACAGGTCCCCAACCAGTCTTTTCCTCCTGGTGAGTGAGAGCCCTTCTCTGGTGGCAGAGCCAGGCTCCCGCTGTGTCCCGGGTTGGGGAGGGGAAAAGGAGGTTTCTGGGTATGGGGTCAGGAATGACTCGGTCAGAACCCAATCTTTCTAAAGCCAGAGCCACAACCCCACCATTGTCCTTGAGGGCAGCCCACAGGCCAGCAGTGGCTGCCAGGAGAAGTTACCTGTGAATATCTCCTTGGGCACCTTAAAGGTATCGATGATGGGCGTGGTGATGCCTGCCATGGTCCCGATCATACTGCCCAGGCCCAGGTTGATGAGCATCAGGAAGAACATGACGGACCAGAACGGGGAGGCAGGGAAGTGTGTCATGGCCTCAGTGAAAGCGATGAAGGCCAGGCCTGTGCCTTGTACAGACTGCGGGTGGGGACGGAGGGCAGGGGCTCAGTGAGGGAGCCCTCTGCTTCCAGATCTCTGCCCAGAGAGCTTTAGGAATAACTATTCCCTCTTTCACAGGGAATAGTTCCCTCTGCCCCCACCTAAATCCTATTGTTTTTGGATGGTGGGTCCCAAACTTGGGTGGGCATCAGAATCCACCCCACCCCAGGGAGTAAAACACCAACCAATTCAGTTCAGCTGCAGGGCCTGGAAGCTGCAAGTTGTACAATGACCACAGGTGATTCAGATGAAGATGCTCACTTTTAGAAACGTGCCCAGCTCAAGACTCCTCCTCTAGGAAGCCTTCCCTGATTGCTCCCAGCTGTGAACTCTAGACCTTAATGCAGTGGCCTCAGCCACGGCTGCCCCATAGAATCACACTGGAGCCTTTAAAAACACTAATGTCTAGGCTCACCCCAGGGACAATAATTTGATTGGTCTGGGGGGTAAAGCTGGATATTAGGGTTTAATAAAGCCCTCAGGTGACTCTGATGGGCAGCCGAGGTAGCGAACCACTGCTGTAATGCTGCTGCTTATGGGGCAACTGACCACACACTGCCCACTGACATCACTTCTACATTGTCCTGCAAAGTCCAATAACTGGGCGGGAACACCTCCCCAAGTCAGTGAGGATTACACAATCCTTGTCATTCGGATGATATCGAGGTTGTATCATAAAAAAAAACTGCTTGGTTTTATTCAGAGGGCCAGGCCATGCCTGTGAGAATAGGACGGGGTCTCATGGAAGGGCGGGAGATGGGGGGCCCTTGATGCTGCCTGGGGAAGAAACCAGAGCAGGATTCCCTCGACAGGGCCCTTTTGTTCTTGATCAAGTGGGAAGAGGTGAGCGGGTACAACACGGCTCCCTCAGCATTAAAATGGAGCCAGGAGAAGGAAGCTGACTTTTAATGTGGAGCTCAGACATTGTTCAGGGAGTGTCACCTTCCCTGGCCCCATAGAGAAGGACAGGGTTAGCCCAGGCTGATGGGAGCTGGCTCTGCCCCAAGGAGACTTGGCACCAGCTGGGTCTTGGACTTTGTGAGCATGTCTCTCTCCTGTTCCTCCTTCTAACAGAATGGTCATTTTGAAAGTTCCCGCTATGCAAATGGGGATAGAAGCAAGGGGTCAAAACTTGGCCTGGGGCCAGCCGAGTGGCTCAGTTGGTTAAGAGCGCAAGCTCTGAGCAAAAGGGTCATCAGTTCAATTCCCACATGGGCCAGTGAGCTGCGCCCGAGCGGATCTGCCACTGAGCTGCCAATAGGTGGCAGGATGACTCAACTCTTAACAAGGTTGCCGGTTCTACTCCCGCATGGGACAGTGGGCTACACCCACTGGCAACTAAGATTGAACACGGCACCTTGAGCTGAGCAACTGTGAGCTGCCGATAGGCAGCCAGATGGCGACTAGACTTGGAGCTGAGCTAGCTGCGCCCTCCACAACTAAGACTGAAGGACAAAAACTTGGCTGCTCCCCTTCCCCAATTCCCCAATAAAATCTTTAAAACAAAACAAAACAAAACAAAAAAAACTTGGGACTGGGCATTAATGAGGGGACAGCATCCCCCTTCCCTACCCCAGAGGCTAAGGGACACTGTGGCAATGATACTTGGAATGAAGACAGCTAGGGGAGAGTCAGAAGCATCCAGGGGTGACTCAGAGCATGGGGACTTAAACCCTGGCTCCCCTACTTACTGGCTGTGAGGACCTGACCAAGCTGTGAACTTACAGGCTACTCACCTGTAAAATCAGAACAATATTAATATTCAACTCACAGTGCTGTCATGCAGGCCAAAGGAGACAGACAGCAAAGGGCAGACACTCATGTAAACACTTAGTTTCTGTATGCCATGTACAAGGCACTGTTCTCAGTGCATGACATGGGGCAGTGACTGGTGCTCAGGAAACCCATTCAATAAACATGAAAGTCACCCCGTACACTCCCTGTGATTTCTGTGATGTGTGTCAGTCTCCTTCCATCACCAAGATTCAACCTACCTCAGGGCAGGGGTTTGAACTGATACCTTCCCTCTCTCCCTCTCTAGACACATAGTAGGTCCTTGCTTATCAAGTAAATGAATGAGTCCCTGGCAGCTTTCTGGGGCCTACATCCAAGCTCCAGCCACCCGTGGCTTGTCTGTGGGCCCACACTCCCGTGTATGCCTTCCAGCCCCCTGTCCCGCACCTTGTTCAGCTCATCCTCCAGCAGGCAGGGATCAAGGCCCAGGGCTGAGAAGCGGTCCTCCTTCACCGTCATGATGACCTTGTACATCTCTGCGTAGTCCTTGGTGGTCAGGTGGGAGAAGTTGACGTGGGGCGGGATGAGGTCCCGGCTCAGGACGTGGGTGTGGAGGTACCCCAGGATTTTCTCGGCATTCCTGCAGCGCAAAACGGAGAGGACCAGGCAAAAAAACAGGGGCGGGCGTGATCCTGGGGGCACCTCCCAAGCATCCGGGCAGGACCCCCCAGTCATCAACAGAGGCATCTCTGACCCTATCCTTGTGGTCCGGGGCTGGGGACAAAGAGCTCCTCTATCTTGTTCCCTCAGCCCGGGTAGACAGGGACTCTTCGTCCATGGCCCACCTGTCCCTCCTGGTAGGGTGGGCAGGGAGGGGAAAGGACAGGAAGGGTGCCACCTACTCGACCACACACTTCTCATTCATAATGTTGGCCTTGAAGCCCAGCACAGCGAACACCACGAGCGTGGCCAGCACCGAGGTGAAGAAGTTGATGAAGGACACCAGGGCGGCATCGAAGTGGCAGTTGTTGTCCTGCTTGTTGTAGCTGGAGAAGGCGATGACGCCCCCAAAGCCCAGCCCCAAGGCAAAGAAGACCTGTGTGGCTGCCTCCCGCCACACCTGTGGGTCCAGCATCTTGTCCAGCTATGGGGGATAGGGGGGCAGGGGGGATGGTAGGGGAAGAAAAGAGACACAGTAACGGTTTTATTCAAACGCAATGGAGTTCCCACCACGCCCCCTTTCCTCAGCCTCAACGGAGTTCAGGGGCAGCATGGTGTCGTGGGAAAAAGCTGTGGCTGTGTGAGCTTGGGCATTTCCCTAGCCCCGCTGAGCCTCAGTTTCCCCAAGTGTAAAACACAGATAACAAGAGTATCAACTTCAGAAGATCATCGTGAGGCTTAGGTAAGATAAAATAAATGCTACAGGCTTACATAGTAAATGCTCAGTTCATTTTAACTGGTATCATTGCTTATCATGGAGCTATCACTCTAAAGAACATCTCCAGGGCCATTAGGTATGATGTACAGTGTACAACTCTAGGGTGTGCCATTCACTAAGCCTACAGTGTGAATGATGCCTCCTAGAGTTGTCCAGTGTACAGCCCACACAACAGTACAAGAGAACTGAGAACACCAGTGTCTCCCTAAGACCTCCTCCATCTCGAACCATAAAAATAGACACCAGCGGCAGCTGCGCTTCTCAGAACCTGCCTGCTCTCACCTTCTTGAGAGTGTATTGTCCTTTTTTAAAGAAATCTGCTGCTTGCTTGGCTTAAGAGAGAGAGAGAGAGAGAGAGAGAGAGACCAGCGTCTCCCTCATTCCTATCCAATCTTCTTTCTCTCTCTCAAAAAAAAAAAAGGCCCAACGTTCATTTTCATTCATACACATCTATATGCTCCAGGTCACAGAGGAACCCTACCCACCCACCCAACTTGAAACACCTTCCTGGAAGAGGGGAAACCCCTGCCTGACCCCGCCCCCAACTGCCCTCAGACCTGACAGGATCCTGAACTACAACAGCATCTAGAGGGCATGGGGCAATTTCCAAAGCACTTTCACATCTGTTCTTCTTTTACTGTTTGGTTCTAACGACATGGGCCATGGCTGGGACGGAGCATAGGGCTTTAGAATCAGACAGACCTGGGTCTAAATATGACTCCCATCTTTAATTAGCTGAGAAGGCTTAGAAAACTGATAGTGCCTGCGGCCATCAGTTTTCTCATCTGAAAAGTGGGAATAATAATAGGGTCTCCCTCCCAGAATGCCTGTGAGGCTCAAATGTATAGCCACCAGTCATGCCTGGTACATAGTAGTATTTAATCCTGACAAAATGCCTCTGACCTAGTCAGGATAGATGTTTGTTTGTTTTTTTGGTGGGGTGTGAGAGATTATTATTCATATTTTGAAAGAGTAAACTGAGGCCCAAAGGTGAAATTTCTTGCTCAAAGTAGCTAGCTGGGACAGAGGAGTTACTAAAATACAGATCATCTGACACTGGCTCATGGAGCCCTCCTAGTGCCATCCCAGACTCTGTTGTCCTATAAGCAGGGGTCAAAATCATCTGCTGGGGTGAGGTATGCTGGGAGGGGAGGTTGGAACGTTCAGACAGGTAACAGCGGTTTAAAATATCCACAGTGGGGCTGGTCGAGTGGCTCAGTTGGTTAAGAGCTTGCTTAAGAGTGCGAGCTCTGAGCAACAGGGTTGCCAGTTTGATTCCCACATGGGTTAGTGAGCTGAGCTGCCGCTAGGCTGCCAACAGGTGGCAGGATGGCTCAGCTGGTGAGAGCACGTGCTCCTAACAACAAGGCTGCCTGTTCAAGATGGTGGGCTATGCCCGCCCACAACTAAAGACTGCACTCAGCACCTTGAGCTGAGCTGCCACCCAGATGGCTCAGTGGAAAGAGCATGATGCTCTTAACAACAAGGCTGCTGGTTCGACTCCTGAATGGGATGGTGGCTATACCCACCCGCAACTAATTGAACATAGCACCTTGAGCTGAGCGGCGCAACTGGACTTGGAGCCGAGCTAGCTGCGCCCTCCACAACTAAGATTGAAGGACAACAACTTGGCTGTTTCCCTCCCGCAATTCCCCAATAAAATCTAAAAAAAAAAATAGAATTGGCTATGAAAACAATTTAAAAAACAAAATGGCCACAGTGGAGGACGGGAGAGTGGGACAACCAGAGACATGGGGAAGGTCTTCTTCATTGCAAAAATAATACAGGCCCACATTTCCTTACCCAACCACCCTGGGGCCAGACTGATTTTGGAAATCAGACCTTTGTTTCTAATTTTATTGTAGAAAGGTAATATGGTGCATATGCCACATAATTACATAACACCACCCCCAGCGGGGTCTGGGACAAACCTGTAATCAAATACATTTGTATTTTTGCCACAAAATATGAATATTCACACCAAGTGAATTAATAAAGACTATAAATAGTCTCACATCTGTTCAGGTCATTTTGCCACAAAATAAGTTCTGGGGAAAAGAAAAAAAAAGACTTTTGTTTTTCCAAGCTATTTGCATTTGGGCATTGTGAATAAGAAAATAGGGGTCTGCCTCTACATGCTCCTAATAGAAATGTAAAGATTATAAAAAAAAAATACAGTAGTCCTCCCCTTATCCACGGTTTTGCTTTCCCGGGTTTCACTTACCTACGGTCAACCAAGGTCTGAAAATATTAAATGGAAAATTCTAGAAATAAACCACTAATACGTTTTAAATTATGCGCCATTCTGAATAGTGTGATGAAATCTCACGTAGTCCTGCTCAGGCCCACCTGAGATGTAAATCATCCCAGCATATCCACGCTGTATATGCTCCCTGCCAGTTAGTCACTTAGTAGTCCTCTCGGTTATCAGATCAACTATTGCGGTATCACAGTGTTTGTGTCCAAGTCACCCTTATTTTACTTAATAACGGCCCCAAAGTGCAAGAGTGGTGATGCTGGCAATTCAGACATGCCAAAAAGTAGCTGTAAAGTGCTTCCTTTAAGTGAAAAGGTATGTATGTATACGAAAAAACCTAGTACATACAGGGTTCAGTACTACCTGTGGTTTCAGGCATACACTGGGGTGTCTTGAAATGTATCCTCTGGAGATAATGGGGGAATACTGTAATCACAATTCCACTGGTAAAGGACTTCTACACCTCCTCTTTCCTGAGGGGTATTTTTTTTTGTTTTTGTTTGGTTTTTTTAAGATCCTCCCAGAAGGTTCTGGAAAGGGATGGAGGGATTACTTATGTCTGGAAGGCATATTGTCATTCACTGATGTTCAACGGGTGCCAATCATGACAGTTCTGCCAGTCTGGAACCTGGGCACTTCCCTCAGGCTAGAAACCTGGACCTCGTGGGAAGGCTCTGGGTAGTTTTGTGAGTTCCAAAGAAGCAAAAGATTTTATAAGAGAATGTGGGTGGAGAAGGACATATCATTTGGTTATGTCATTTGCATGTGGAAAAAATCTTTATTGGTCCCCACTGTCTACGGGAAAATCTTTTCCCACTCTATGTTCTGAATACTCTTAAGTGCAGTGAACTTATACTTTTCAAAAGCACCCTGATCTCCTACCTCTGGCCTTGGCCAAGGGTATTCCATCCACCTGGAATTCCCTTCCTCCTGCTCAATTTCTGGTGAACTCCTATTTATCTCTCAAAACCCAGCACAGATATCACCTCCTCTTTGAAGTTTTTCCTGACTGCCTCTGACAGAGCTAGTCATGGTCCTAGGCTCTCACAGCTCTTGTCAATACCCGAATTACAGGTGTATGTGTCTGTCTTCCTCTCACCACTTTGTGCTTCCTGAGAAACCCACCTGCTGTTATCTTTGTATGAGCCGTGCTTGGCACATGGAAGAGAAAGAGTGGGGGTCAAGAGAAAAACAGGCAGGCAAAGTCTGACCTGTGTCCTCAAAGTGAGCTGAGCCAGGCATCTTCAGTACTGAATGCCTGCTGTTCCTTAAACTTAAAGGGGCTCTTTCAGGACTCCTGGGGTGATGGTGCGTGATTTCAACAAGGTCCTGATTGTAGTGTCAACAGAGAATGAACCCACGGCCATGGCTTGGGAAGCTCAATGTCCTGTCCGGACATCAGGATATGACTGCAAGAGGAGAGGTGGGAAATGGGCTTTCCCACGGAAGACAAAGCTCACACCCTCCCCGGGGTGCCCCCCACCACCCCGAAACAGAGCAACAGCCTCCTGCCATTTCCTTGGCACAATGGCTGAGTCACTTCCTCATGCAGGGAACAAGGTGTTTCATAGCGTTTGACTCAGCGGCATGAAGATGCTTTTTGAATCCACAAAGAGCTGCTGAGCGCCCAGCTTGAGCGGGTGCATGATGGGAGCACACACCGTTGTTCCTTAGCACTGCCGGTCACCTGCCCATGCAAGAACCAGAAGGGACCACAAGACACCAGATGGCACTGGAACACCCAATTCACACAGTCTAAAGGCAGTGTCACCTTCACTAGCTACCAAAATAATAATAGCTCTGCATGCCAGGAGCAGACCTACATGGTCCCCTGACAACGCTGTGAGGGAGCTACCATGCTTCACCCCATCTTTCAACTGAGGAAACTGAGGCCCTGAGAGGCCAGGGAACTTGCCCTCTGACTGCTGAGTGATAAGCTGGGGTCTGGACCCGATCACCTGGCTCCAGGGCCCACCCTCTGCTAACAAGGCTGGGCTGCCCTCGTCATCCTGCTCCAAAGCCGTACTCCAACTGTATGAGTCAAGAGGTTCCACCACTAACCCCCACAGCTGGGCCGTTACGACTTGCAGGGACCCCACTTCTCTCCTCTCAAGGTTAACACACACCTTTGACCCTGTGGCCAGACTGGCTCACTGGTCAGGACCGCAGGCCCCAGAGGCGGCAAAGCGAGAGGCAGACGCCCGACACTACAGCACAGCTCAGGTTGTGCTGGGCCCACCCCAGAAGGCTGGTGTGGCTTTCATTGTGACTGCTTATAGGTAACACAGTTATGGGGTTTAAAACAAAAGGGTCCACAGTAAGGTCTCCTTTCCTCACCCCTGTATCCCAGACACCTAGTTCCCCTCCCCTACATATAACCATGACATCAGTTTCTTATGTACCCTTCGGGTGATAGTTAATGCATATATCAGCAATATATAATACACAG